TGCATGGGAATTGCTTGAACCTCAGTTTGATGCCTCAATGGAAACCACGCTTCCTTTCTTCCACCAACCTGTGAGTCAAAAGAAGCCCGTTTTGTTGCACTTGCTTGACAAACAAACCTAGGGTTGGCAGGGTGGGGGTTTTGTTCTTGCTGATTGTTATTGCGTAACAAATCCTATTTGTGTGTAATAACTTAAGCAGGAACTTGGTGGAGTGGTCGAGTCTTGAGTTGATGTGTCCCCTCTCCTGTCCATTTTGGCTCAAGGGCCCAACGACAGGAGAGGGGGATATGTGCGACCTCCTCGAAAACCCCACCCCCCCACACCTTGTTTTCCCAGTCGCATTGACGAGAGAGTCAGTGCATGGTTTGTTTGTTTTGAATGTGCCATCGAGTTGCTGGGGACACGTGGTGTTATGCGCGTGTTCCTGGCCCATGGCACATTTGTTGAAAGGCCCGGAAGTGGGCAAGAAAGGACAAGTTGGAAGAGGCGCGTCCGAGGTGCATGGGAATTGCTTGAACCTCAGTTTGATGCCTCAATGGAAACCATGCTTCCTTTCTTCCACCAACCTGTGAGTCAAAAGAAGCCCGTTTTGTTGCACTTGCTTGACAAACAAACCTAGGGTTGGCAGGGTGGGGGTTTTGTTCTTGCTGATTGTTATTGCGGTATTTACAGTGAATTCTGCTTATTTTGACGTTGATTTTTTGAGTACAAGTTTTAGATGATTTTTGCGGTTGGAATTGTTCTAATGGTTTTTTCGTTTTGCATTTAAACAATATAAGCAAATAAGCTGTAACAATGGATGAAATATGAATTGTATGAATAGACCTCGTTCCCTTTTTCTTCCGGAAAAAATTGTTTATGATATATTTTTGAACAATGAGGTTTATATATTTGAACAATGTATATATATATACCTACGATACCAACAAGTAGGTTTAGGGGGCGGTCGAGCAAAAAAAAAGAAGGTATTTTTTCAAAACAAGTATTTTTTTCAAAACAAGTATTTTTTTTGGTCGACCCCCCCCCCCGGGCCTAGCCGGGCACCCCCCCGGCGCGATCCGCAGGAAAGAATTAATTTGAATTAAGTGAAATAATACAAAGACTGTATGACGATAAATAAAAATGACGGTAAGTCACGATTTGTTGAAGTGAAACTCAACTATGGAAATGTTACCGCAGCCAGCTCCGCAATCGAACCACATTAAGGAGGAAAGAATGCCGCGTAAGCAATGCAATGGATGCCAAAAGTGGGGTCAGATGTTTGTTGATCTTCGCATCAGTTAGCTCTCAAATCTTTTGGCTTCGCGTTTTCTGTCTGTCTGTCTCACCCTCAGCATCTGCATCGTGTTCATGGCGCGCCCGCCGTTGGGATTCACGATTGAGGCTGAACTTGAGGCTTTGATAGATGAGATGCCTGAAGAGGACTGCACAGGAGGCCCAGCTCGTGAGGTTGGTCCAGCTACACCTGCTTCGCTTGACGTTCCCACCGGCGATCGACCGAGTGCTTCAGAAGCTCCTACAGAGCCTCCTCCCAAGCGTCTACGCGGTGCAAACTTGTTGCTCAGATGGATTCACCAGTCGTCTTCCACATAGATGAAATGTTCATAAATTGTTTTTCAACATCTGTGTAAACTTTTGGCTTTTTGCTTCTGTTCTGTGTCGTTTTTGCGTATGCTCGTATACCGATCAGTTGCCGCAGCGTCCTTCAAACCATGGTGGCCAAGGTGTCTAAGAAGGGCAACTTCAATCCTTTTCCAGCTCCCAAGCGTGGCAAAGGAGATGTGTGCTGAAGCGGCCGGCCGCCAAGAAGACAAAAGCGTGGAAAGATACCCCCTACACCCGGCATCCTTCAAAGCTGGTGGCCGCGGACATCAAGTTGGATCGCAAAATGTGGAAAAGGTCCTTGACGGATATTCTCCATGCTTCAGAGAAGAACCTGGTCAAGATGCTTTTACAGGATGGGCTTCTATCATCGTGGGATGGCCAAACTTGCCCAAGATGTGGGCAGGGTACCATGTCAAAGCTTCATGGTGGTGACAAGCCACAGCACCGATGCAGCGCTAAGAAGTGTCATGTGTACATCAATCCTCACCTGACGGTCGTGGCACTGGGTGTATGTCCTTGCAAACGCAAGTGGCTCTTCTTTTCTTAAAGCTCAACAACATTCCAAATGCAGCCATTCATCGGCTCCTTGGTGTCAACCACAAAGCCATTGAAGACATGTCAATGCGCCTACATGAGCTGCGCAAGAAGTATGTGGAGATGAATGAAAAGCAGATCAACTTTGCCTCTGGTGTCAAGTGGAGCGATGTGGAGGCCGATGAGACTACCTTTGACCGTCAGAACACGGGAGCTTTCGCTGACAACAAAGCTACGCCCATTGCTTGGGAGCAATGGTGTGGCTTAGTGAAGCGAGGTCATCCTGACACACTCGTGCTACATCGGCTGCGTCCCAAGATGTCAGAGGTACGCGCTCCCGGGCCAGGCGCCATCCGAAAAGTCGAGTGGACACCTTTGGCCAACAAATGGCTCAAGGACAAGCGTGTGATCCTACACACAGACGCTGCAAAGTCCTACAAGTGCCAGATCCGGGGCGTGGTTCACGACAAGGTCGTCCATTGCAAGAAGAAAGTCAAGACTAATGGGAAATGGAAATGGCAAATGCCAAACTATGTTCGCCTTGTCCACCACAAAGTCCCGAGGCAGAAAGCTCTTGTGCGCTGCAAGGCTGGCGCTCAAGTCATCGATCGTGCATGGCGATTCCTGAAGGAGCGTCTGCAAATTAATCAGGCATCGCGTGTCGGAAGTGCTGCCCTCCGAGCAAAGCTCCGGTCTGCGCAGTATGAGTACTGGTATCGCAACCGGGACCTGTGGCTTGCCACAGGCTCGCTGTGTTCGTGGGAGATGGCAAAGCTCATCAAGGCCAATTGAGCCAGCGACCTATGCCTCTGGGGAAAATCGGTGCATGTCTGTTTGCAACAAAAAAGTCAACCTTCTGGTGCAACATTGTGCTTATCTGCAAAAGCTGGCATCTCTAAGTCAAGCTTCAAGGCCACAAAAACCTTAAACCTTCTGGCGCAACATTCTGCTTATCTGCAAAGCTGTCATCTCTACATCAAGGTTTCAACATCTTAACCATATGGTACAACACAAGACTTTCCTCAAAAAGTTCACACTCAAGTGGTGCAAGGTTCTGCTTATCTGCAAATCTGTCATCTCTACATCAAGGTTTCAACATTTTAACCATATGGTACAACACAAGACTTTCCTCAAAATTTCCCACTCAAGCGGTGCAAGGTTCTGCTTATATAACATTCTGCTTATTATCTGCAAAGCTGTCATCTCTACATCAAGGTTTCAACATGTTAACCCTATGGTACAACACAAGACTGTACTCAAAACTTCCCACTCAAGTGGTGCAAGGTGGGTTTTGGGGGGGGACTAGCATATATAGATATATATATGTATTCATATATACTCGGAGTATACACATCAAAGCATTCCAACTTCTTTTGCTGAACTGCCAAAAGGCCCAATGTTCTCCACATTTCGTTGCACTTGGAGGCCTACTTCACGTTGCTGGCCAATCGCACTCGTGCCCTCGAGCAAGAGCTCTCGCGTGTTTCGGTCTGTCGAGACGATTCCAGGACGGCCAAAGCGACGGCGCCTTGCGACGGCTAAGCGACGGCGCCTTTCATGCGGGTTTTGCGACCCATTGGAGCTTTTTCTGAGGACTGCAAAGCCGTGGCAGATCCCAAAGATCTTGCACCAGACCTGGAAGACGGATCAAATCCCTGTTAAATACCGCAACTGGACTGCAGATAATTCCAAAGCACTTGCTCATACAATTCAGCAACGCCATAAGCTTCATGTTTGACATTGGTTCGCTGCTTGGAGCCAAGAAACCTTTAACAGTAACATTCAAAAACACGAGAACTGTCCACGTGAATTTGTTCACTGCGTGCTTCACGCACTTCGCAGCGACTGTGCATCTCAACCAGAGGGTACTTCTCATTTGGTTCCTCAACATCATGTTAACAAGCAACCTTAGTAGCCTTTTCTCCCTTTATGATCCAACTCCAGGTAGCGAGATTAGTTCTTGGCGGCGACTGCACCCTCACTGGAGATTCGAGTTCTGGGATGATATGCGAAGTGCGGAATTGATGCGGGAACCTGGGACAGAGAGCGGGATGTGGGGAAAGAGAGCAGAGGGCTAGACCTTGTCCAAATATGTCCAAATACTGTGGTAGGTTTGACCCCTTGCTGGGTGCTTATTTAGAGTCTACGGGCTATAGGCTATGGGTCCTATTTGCTGGACGACTGGACGATCATTGCTTTTGGACAAGTTGAACTGTTTCTGAGAACCGACTTCTTGTGGTCAGGACGTGTTCCCGCAGTACGCGCCTGCATTTGAAGTGATCCTCAGACTTCTATGGCATTTCTAGTTTTCAGGTTCTTGGTCAGGTGGAATCGTGGTGTTGTTGCTTTGCTTTCACTACAGACTGTAATGAATGTTTCTAACATCACGAGAGTTCCCATTAAGGAGGGATGAGATCCTTAGTTTGGGCAAAGAGTCTACCTGGGGCCTGTACAGTATTGCTTTGCGCTGCATCGGCTGCTTGCTCGTACTGTTTCTGAGGATGTCCGGCATAAAACGTGCGGATGTGGCGCGAATTGCTGCACTCTATGCCCTTTGGAACATCTTGAGTCGATCCATTTGGTTTGACAGTGACATGAGATTTGCCACCTTTGCCAGCTTTCTGCCTGAGTGCTCCCCCTGTTCTTTAGCCCGCGGCCCGTGGCCCTGCCTCCTTACTTACTGTAATTCAGCAGGCGCCGACTCAATTAAGTAAGGGACAAGTTTTCTTTCCTAGCTGGACGCAGGATAGCTCACGCGTCAGAGCGCAGGGGGAGCTTTCTTGAAGAAGCGCTGGCACTAATGATTTGGTTCCTGTTTTTTTGAAGGGAAACTTAAGATTCAGAAAGATTCAGATGTCTTTCTATGGCCACTAACTTGGCACCGAGAAGCGCAATTTTCAGCCGAGGCTTATGGTGGTGTGTACGCCGACATCGATGTAGAAGCTACACGATGCTTTGATCCACTGCTGCAGGCTGCACAGAATGCGCATGTGGCAGTGCTCCTTGGGGAGGAGCTGTCACCGCGGCATGATGCTTTGATAGATCTGATAGACAGATTGGATTGCAACAAGATTTAGGTACAAACTGACTGTTGCAACGACAACTCTTTAGAGTAATGACGGTGCTTCCAGTCAGGAGAACATTGTACATACAGTGCTTTTGGAGAAGAGGCACGGCAGCGAATGAACCAATTTCTTGCAGAGACTCACACCATCAAACACCTTTATGTTCTGAATTGAATTTTGAGCAAAATGAATTCAACCCCTTAAAAGAACATGAGGAAGACTTCTGGTTGGCTTCTGCTCCTTTGAGGCTCTCGGGACATTTGGTGAGCAATGCAGTCATGGCCAGTGCACCTGGACATCCCTTTTGGCGAGGTGTTTTGAGCGAAATCTTCCAGCAGCTGGGTGAGCACATCGGAAGAACACTGGGTGAGCAGGGTCGGACGTCTGCGGCGTGGTCGGAAGATGGGTCTAGTGGCGATGCCCTTTGTTCCTAGTAGCATCCTTGTTCCTAGTAGTATGACCAGGAGCCCCTAGTAGCGAACATTGCTCCTAGTAGCGATGCCAGGAGCCCCTAGTAGCGTCCTGGTTTCGTGCGGGTGAGATGTATGGATCTGTGGATCTGTGGCGACCACGACACTTGTGGTGACCGAGGCGCAGCTGTGGACATGACCCGGTCCAATGCACTGGGCCGCGGCTGGTGGACCGTGTCAGCAAGCAGCACTTGAGTTGCAGCAGCGGCTGTGTGGCACGACTGCCCTTTGTGTCCTGCAAGCAATTTGCAGCGATCATGAAATTTGCTTGATCATATGTGGCATCACAGTCTCAAGAAGGTTATTTATTATCCTGTTTCAAGTGACTGCAAGGACTACTTTTCTCCGCAATTAGCACGCTGGAATGTGGCATCCATGACCAAGAGCTGTAGCGAACTCTTTGGAGAGCCAGCAAAGCTGCTGCCAAACCATCGCAAGGTGAGCACACAGATCACAACATTGGTTTGCACATTGCAACAAAAGATGCAAGCACAATGTGTATCGAGTCAACAACAATGTATCAGGTGAAATGTATTGACATGTATGGACTCAATGTGAGCATCAAGTTTCCGTGTTTGTGCTCTTTTGAGATGCAACTCGTAGGACCAGATGATCGCAAATGCTGTGGTTGAATTCACCAAAGAATCGCGTCGCCAGGCTTTGCATTTCGCCTGTACTTCCTTGGACGCGGCGCTGCGCGACGACGCGGCCTTGTACACCGAGTCCACGTTTGCGGTGCATCGTGCGGGAACCCAGAAAAGCTTTCGAACACCAGCAGGGATTCCCTGAGACCTAGGCAGCTAGACCGTACTCTTCATAGATAATGCCATTAGTCAGAGATAAGTATATTATATAAGGATATATTCATTCTTCATCATTCTTCTTTTTCTTTCACCTGGTTTGCTGTAAACCTTAACTGATGCGCAACACCGTGAATGTGTCAGTTTGGATGATACAACTGTTGGATGGCAAGAGCCTTTGCCCCTAAGGTTGGCAATGTAGCTGGTGCAGAGAGGCTGGATTCAGCGTTAGCCGTTAGCACTTCTCTCAGCATTCGTCTCATCTCAGGGTTTCAATCGCCTGGGACACTCCTTGACTTTGCGCTTCTTGTGCTGCTCGATGTGCTGTGAACTACTCCAAGTACACAGATGCTCAGTCTTTCCACTCCCTATCATCACATCGAATCCATCAACACAAGGTCAGGCAGTTTTCATGAGAAGTCTATTCACGAGTGGCCTGACATACTAAATAGCAAACGCTTCCACTAGCAACAGGGCATCCCGCCAACAAGAGAAAATGCAGGAATCCTGTTGCACCTTGTGTTTCCATGCTTAAAGATGCAGGATCACAGCATGCAAGCAACCATGCCTCTACGGGAGCTGCTATTCGAGGCCATTTTGATGTTAGCCAAGTTTCTAGGGATAAGACATTGCGAAATCATCGCACTGCTTCACAAAAGACTTTGCCACAAGGCTTTGCTCAAGTTGTAAGGTGAATGGCAGACCTCTTCAGCTTTTCACCTTTTACACCAAGTTATTATACCCTTTGGCCCTTTGTGGTTTTATGTCATGACTGACCTGGCTTTTTGCCTGGAGCATGATCCAGGTCGGCAATGAAACGGAGTACGCCGCTGAGGGATTTCGGCAGTGCCAGCCGTGTGCTGCACAGCCGCAGAACTGACTTTGAGGAACTGCTCACAGGACGCTCCAGGAGCAGCCGCACTCTGGACAATCGCTTGGACAAAGTGACGCGCCATGTAGCGACACAATGTCCGGACAGAGAAAGCAGGGCGAAGTGCAAAGGACCTCGGAGCAGACCCTCCGACAACACAGTTCGGCTGGGACTGAGAAACCCCTGCGTGATCGATGTGGCCAGGCATGGGAAGAAGCGAAAGGCGAGATCGTGAGGTTTTGAGATATCCTTGTTTGGCATCCGTTTGAGATATCCCAGTCCTTTTAGAGACCCTTTCTTGTTCTGTGGGCTTATTCCAGAAGCACATGAATGGTTTGGACTTCTGCTCAGAGCCTCACAGTTTCATACTGGGACTTGCCCAGGGCCATCCTCTTCATGACTTTCGGGAAAAGCTCCTCAAGAAATGGCCCACCATTCAGGCTGCATGATGGCATTATTGCTTCTGATGTACTGTAATTATTCTGTTGTGCGTGTGTGATTGTGTGTGTGATATGCGAGATGTTCGAGTTTTCAGGACGCAGAACATACAATAACCCTTCTAATGATGCTCAAATTACCAATTACATCTAATTACTGTATACTTTCTTCTGGTTGGATCAAGACGTGTTCTTTTCTCCTACAAACACCTTTGAAGCTGATGTTAGGACGCTTTCTCCGCCATCGACAGCTATTTGTCGAAGGTGCTCGGGCGATTTTTGGCTGCTGTCGTGGTCATGGCCAAAGTGTAGAAAAGTCTACAACGTCAGTTCCGGATTCGTTACATGTTTGATTGATTGCTTTCTGAGTTTCTGTGAGGCTTTGCTAATATAGACCATGTTGAGAGAAAGCCAGCTTGTCCCTGCCCCCCCCACTCCAACCTAATTGTAATGGCCACCAACCTAGAAGCGATGGCCTCCAACCCAATAGCTCCTTGTGTTTGCAAAGTTTGCAACTCCCTTCCTTGGTTTTCCCCCACAATTGCCACTGTTTGCGCTGACAGAACATATGTGCGTACAGGTGAGGGGTGTGGTTGCTCCAATCATTTTGCGCTTACACACTGGCCATACCGACGGCAATGGGATGTGGAGATATGAGCACAATCAGTTGAAGATTAATTTCCCAAGTTGGTTCACTTTTGTAGTTGATGTGATCATGTGATCATCCCATTATGCAGCTTGTCGTTGTTCTTTCAGAGTGCGAGCCATGGAGGACTGACTGGCTTTAAACATGGGGTTATTACCTCAAGGACATCCAAACAACAAAAGAAAAGAATACCGGACACTGGTAGATAGCAGACAGACAGTATTGAACAGAATACTAGTAGAAATGCCCTTTGTTCCTAGTAGCTTCTTGTTCCTAGTAGTACTGCCAGGAGCCCCTAGTAGCGTCCTTGCTCCTAGTAGCGATGCCCTTTGCTCCTGGTAGCATTTGGTGTTTCAAGTCGGTGGACAATCAGAAAATGATTTAATGACGGACGCCCCGTTGCCCAGGTGACAAAGCCAATGAACTTGCAGGAGTGGGCCACTACGCTCTCCAATCTAGGCACCGTGGATTTGCTTGGATGTTCTTCAGAGTTATTTTATGAGAGGTCACCACGATTTGCCAGCATATATGCATACATTACTGTATAAATCACACATATATATATATATGGGTTCGGTGCGTTTTCCGGGCCCCAATGAAACTATGAATAAAGCACACTGAGCCCATGTTACTGTATATCATGTTGTTGTGAAATACAGCTATTTCTTGTATACAGCTATGATGACTTGTCCTCTGCATCTGCTTCTAGCAACTATATACTATATATATATTACTATTATATATTATTATTGTTATTCCTATTCTTATTATTATTACCATTATTACTATTACTATATATATATATGTTTTTCAAAAAATATCATGTATATAACTATAATGCATTCTATATAGGCAGATGAATGTATTGTCCTTTGGTCCAGGCCTTGCAAGCCAAGCGGATGGTCGGGTGATCTACGTGCTGGGCTGACTTACTGCACGGAGAGATAGGAGGAGTGTCAGAAAGTAAAACTTCAAAAAGAGCAACGCTAGTAAAAACATCCTATCTATGGACACACAAAAAAACTACCTGTGATATGAATCAACTTTATGAAGCCTTTGGCCTTTGACTGAGCAAGACAATGAAACCTATATTGGAGGATTGGGCAACGGACAACGTTCTCAAACTTGAGTTCTCAACCATCTATGCTGTTGTTTGATGGTTGATGGCTGCTTGGCTTGACAGCCTAGCTGCCAGACGAGTGATGAAAAACGGCTGAGGAACTCCTGGATGAGAACAAGGCCGATGCTGAGTCAGCTGTTGAAAAAAGTGGCTGAGTCAGATGCTGAGTGGCTCAGTCATCCTTGCGCCACTTCCTCTCGAAAAACCAGTGGACAGAATCCTGCACTACAAAATCACCCGCCAAACTCTGTATATAATGGTTCACCCCAAGTGGTGCAGGATTTCGTGCTTCAACAGGAGTGCATCCCTTCACCCCTTTGTTGGCTTTATTCAGTCCATTTTCAGCCCAAACGTCACAGGATGGTGATTTGACCCTTGAAGAGTTTCATTGGGGTGCCAGAAGCCTAGCGCGCCAAAAGGAGCTGCTTTGAGTCTTGAAGAGCTTTGAAGAGACACCTTCATTCGCCTATTTCAGCATCATATAGCTGCAGTTTACACTTTTCCCCCAAACAGTGTGGACACACTAGGGGTTCTCACGGTGAGGGAAAGGCAGCTGATGCTTAGATCGCTGAAGCGCGCGGCCGTGACCGGCTAATTCGCTGCTATTTACGGCACATTCATTACTCTCGAAATCCTCGAAGTGCATTTCGACTGCGCAGGCTCGCAAAGTCTGGGTGCCCCCGGCGGGTGCTTCTAGCCACTGCGCTCTCGTTGTGGTGCCGTGCGCATTTTCGTACATGGTGGTAACTTTTCGTGGCAGGCGCAAGGGAAACCTCGTGTTTTGGTGCTCCTAAGTCGACTTCGTGGCAGGCACAGCACTTTGCTCACTCACTCACTCACCCACTCACTCACTCACTCACTCACCCACTCACTCACTCACTCACTCACTCACGCTCGCATTCACACTCACACTCACTCACACGCACATTCACTTTCACGCTCGCATTCACACTCACTCTCACACTCTCACTCTCACCCTCACTCTCCACTCTCACTCTCACTCTCACTCTCACTCTCACTCACATGCACACGCACACGCACACGCACACTCACACCACCGCCACCGTCACCACGATCCCCACCTTCATCACCACCATCACCTCTCTGGACCCCAATGCGTCTAGATCTCTAGACTTTCTGCTTATAGACCTCACACACACTGTTTAGTTTGGGGTCTCTTGCCGGGATAATTGATTTGCTTCCTTTGTTCCAAGATCGAAACTGTGGCCCCGGTCCTTTGCATGGAGACGCTTCGGAAGCGGCTGCTGCTGGAATCTTAGAGAAGCGCTGCCCACGTGTCTGCAAGTTCTGCAAAAGTGGCTGACGGTGCCCTGCTAGGTGCCTTGGTTTTCCATCAATGACAATGGCACTGTCGGCCATGCGTGCCCCTGAGCTGGAGCCCACAACGCCAGTGGAGACAGCCCCGAAGCGGAGACAGCTCCCGTGTTTCGTCGACTTAGGCACGGGCCTGGCCAGGACGGGACTCGACGCAGCAGAGCTCGGTCTGGCAGAGCTCGGTCGGCGGCCAGGACCTGACCATGTTGCCACTGTCCTTAGAACGGTTCGCCGAGTGCCTGTGCAGCTTGGCGATGAGGTGATGATGGAAAAAAAGGGTTTTGAGAGGTTTCAAGATCTTGAAACCAGACCTTGTTGCAAGACCGCTTAAACGTTGCATTGTGAACCTTTCGGAAAGTCAGATGAAATAATTGGGCCGATCGAGGAGGACTCATTGAAGGGAATCGCCTTCTGGAGACTTTCATGTTTGGGGGCAATGTGGCGATGTGGGATACAATATTTGATTTGCACTTTGCCCGTAGTCATCAGAAAAAGGTCTTTGAGTCTGTTCTATTCCGGTCTTTGATCATGACCCGTTCTCCGCCTTAGGCAGGGCTTGGATCATTCAGCCCGAGGACTGGTGAGCTGCCAGCTTTGGCTGTTAGCTTCTTGAAAGTCGTTTGTTGTGGTATCGCTGTACAGTAGATTTGAGGCACAGGCAGTGCAGAATCAGAGTGGGCTAGTAAAGATCACAGTCGATGTTTGTCAATGAAAAACCGAAGCTCGTCTAAAAATGAATGCCTCAGAGCACATCCTGTAAATAAAGTGGATAAATCTAACAGGTGCAGCTGCACTCTCACAGGAACACAAGGCTATCTTCGAGGCTATTAGAAATCCGTGTCCGGCTTAGATGGATTTGAATATACTGTATCCGTTAATTTAGTGACCACCTCCAGAAGATGAGTTTGGACGTAAAAGATGTGCAGTGTGGCCTAACTTGTGAGTGAGTAGTGGAAGCCATTGGGGTTGCTGGAAAGGCTCTCGAGGTCTTGAAGACTTTTTTGGTTTGCAGAAAACGGATTAGGAAGCTGCTAGGCTGACCATGTTGACATGTTGATGTGCAAAAGAAAGCATGTGTTGCCTACGGTACTCAAGCAGAAAGAACATGTCCACACCTTTCGCTGAGGAATGAGCCCTCCAACACAGTGACACTAAGCGAGCTTTTGTGCGGCCTGGCAGGGGCATGGCGCCTCAGATGTTGATACAAGGATTCTTAAGCTGTAGCAGCTGTAGCCTCCTTCTTTGACCATTCCAACTGGTGCTGATTTTTTTAAGGCTTTTTTATTTCTCAGATCTAGATGGGAAAAGATGATACCTGCCAACCTTCCGTGTAACGTGGAAAAACCACTCCCAGCTTACTTTAGTCTCCATGTTACGTAAAAACGCCAAGCGTCCTACGAAAACGCCAAAACCGAACCAGTCCCAGGTCAGCCCACCCTTGGTCTTGGAGGATCTGGCCACGGCCTTGCGGCCTCGCGGACGACTTGCTGCCTTGAAGGTGGGGCGTCGACTGTGTGGATGAAATGCAAACGCAGGATGGCCAGGGTGGCCGATTTTGGACGTTTATATACTTTGAGTGTTTTCATTTGACTTTTACTGGATCCTAGCAGTAAGATGAAACCTGCCTGACAATCCTAGGATCTAGAATGGATAGACTATGCTAGACTTATATACATCCCTGGTCGATGTTCACTTCTCCAAGCAGTGGTGTTTTGGGCATTCCACTTCTTTGAGACATGGGATGTCCGAAGGACGCACTTGGTGTTTCGGACGAGCAGGAGGAGGTGAGTGCAGAACACTGGCGCAGGAGGGTTTGCGATTGAAAGACATGTGTTGACGGTCCAACGCCGTCGGAAGCAGAGGACTCTTGGGAAACTGCCCGGACCTGAGATTTGAAGGTCCGAAGAAGGACTCTTCGGAGACATGAAGGTGCCCGGAGACTCCAAGTGACCTGAAGCGGTGGCCTGTTTTGGTCACCCAGGTGGCATACATTTTGAGTCCGGACAAGCATGAGCTAAGGTTTCATTTTAATGATGTTGAGACCAGCAAGCTGCTTCCCATGATGGATGTGGATGGTGAACTGCTAAGAAATGTGCAGATTCTACAGACTTCTACAGATGTTTTGTGAGAATGGCTCCATATTGTCAGTACTTGCCATGTACAATAATTCAGACATGAGGACAGATTAACTGTGGACTGAAGGACATATTCACTTCTAGAGTGTGATGCTTACTTATTGTTCAGATTTTGTTCTCCCATCCCACCCACATCCATGGAGAAAAAAAGGAATCGATGGCATCTCCATGGAGGAGCTGCAAAGTGTCCGATGCTGAGAGCTGAGCCGCTTCGAATGAAATCACCATATCTTGAACTGTTTGAGGTTTTAGTATTTGCTGAGCCCTCCATGTTTGTCGAGGCCCGTTTTTCATTTGAAACGGTGAAATTCTGGGACCCCTTCTGAAATGATCGGTGTCTATCATCGGGTTCTCGCCCAGGGATCGCGGAAGAAGGTGCAACAAGGCGCTGGGTTCCACAAGCGTCGAACGGTGCCGCTGCTGCTGCAGCCCGCTTCCAGGCTATCGGAGCATTGAGAGTGCGCTTCAGAACATCATCAATGAGGCCTGTTGCACCTGCCCTCAAAGCCACTCTAAGAGGTTGGAGTATGTCCATCCTTTTTGCCAAAGTTAGCCTGGACCCAGATGACCCACCTCCAAACCGGTGCTACCACCACGCTGCTCATCCAAATGATCGTTTCTCCCGGCCTGTCCACCGGCAGTCTGACCTTCGTGACGACTCCAAGTTCGGCAAGGAGGTGGGCCGATCTCAGACGGTTCCCACCGAAGCGACGGCATCCTGCGGCATGCTTTAAGGAGTTGGAGCTTCTCTTGGAGTCCGTGGAGGGAGTTTGGCCACCTCAGTTAAGGAAGAATGAAACGTGGAAGAACAGACACCTTCTGGTCTAAAGCTGGATATGCACATGCGGAACATTTGGAAACAAGCACAACGGCACCACATCTTCAGGTGGAGATGTGGGAGATGGCGCCTGTGGTGTCGTTTGTGAGTGGAGCTTTGGCTACAAAAGGATCAGTGGTGGTGGTGTGTCAAGTAACCTGCATTGTCCAACACATCGAGGGCCGATGTCCTTGTGCGCTCTGAATCAACAAGTCATCTGAATCAATTGAATTGACTTGCCTGTGCTACTGAGGTAGTTCTGGGATTGGAGTCTCAATCAGTGGCTTTCTTAAGGCCCGCGCAGAAGACAGCACTTTGGGGCATGTTTTATTTCTTTGCTTGTGAATATGCATTTTAAACATTTTTAGCCTTTGAACCAAACTGACCCTTGTCCTCGTGGTCAGGGATTGCGCCTCTTTGCCCCCTGCTGTGTGCTGGAGGACGGATGTTGGATGAATGTTAAACCAAGCAATTCTGGTGGCTCGCCCTGTTCATCAGCAGAAGATAGGCTGCTAAACAAACCAATGGACAAGTCTTGTTAGCGTATTCTTCCCAATTTCTGTGAAGGCTTTGAGGATGCAGCTAATAACGAAGGGCATGTCTGCCTTCAAGCAGGCACAGCATTGCTGGAAGCTGGGCAGACATGCTAAAAGGATCTGAAAGGTCTGCCGACAGTATCTAAATCTATGACTGTTTACAATGAGCATGGTGTTTTGGTCGATTTCGACAAGTACCCTGCAGTGCAGGTGCCAAACCACCGGATGCCTTTGGATCGTGAAGCATTTGTTCCGGGCTGAGACGGGACACGCGTCTTGCGACTCTCGTGACTCCCAGTGTCTCTCGGAACTCATCGTTTATATCGTTTACACAAGGGGTGAAAAAGCTCCGTTCGTAGCGTCCTTGCTCCTAGTAGTAAGGCACTTGTTACTAGAAGCGAT